TGCGTGCTTACACTGCGTACTCTTTGCCCTTCACGCTGTTTATGTATAGAGCCTGTTAAACAAATTTTAACCAATATTTGCATTTGAAATAGGAAAATCCTTGCTTTTTAAAATTTGATATATGATAATCAGGATATATGACACATGATAAGGCTTCCTGGAAGCCTCCGGAAGATTTCTTTTTTCCAGAGTCTTCTATAAGTCCTTGTCACTCTTTAAAATTGATGAAGAGTCTCACTGAAGCTCTTTCTGAGACAGTTAAAAGCTGAAGAGCTTTTATCTAGTAGAAACTCTAATTTGCGGAAATATAATCAGAAATGTTTCAGATTCGTAGCAAATTGAAAAATGGTGATGTGACTGGGATTGAGCACCTTTAGTGACCCTAGAAAAATAGAGTGTGCTGCTCCTTTTTTTTTTTTTTTTCTTTTTTTACAAGACAGGATTTCTCTGTGTGGCAGTCCTGGCTATCCTAGAACTTGCTTTGTAGACCAGGCTGGCCTCAAACTCACAGAACTACTCTTGCCTCTGTCTCCCTAGTGCTGGGATTAATGGCATGTGCCACCATGCCCAGCTGCTAGACTTATATACAGGTTTCCAACTGGTTTTCTCTTAGTAAAACAAGATTCCTGTTCTGTGTTTATATTATTTTAAAAATAATTCCTAGATTTAATGTTTGTTCCAATTTCTTTATCTCTGCATACGTCAAATTAGAAGAAAGAAACATACCAAAAAAAAGCATTTTAAGAGTGTTGCTTCCACAGGTTATAGAAAATTACATTGGGAAAATAAGACCAACTTTTGATTGTCAGCAATGAAGAAATGTCATGTGTATGTGTTTAATGTTAAGTGTCTTTAAAGGCCGCTTTCTTTCAGGCGTTTGGTAAAGTTATAAATTATACACGAGTTTGTGGAAGCTGGGGATGCAACTAGATGCTAAGGTTTCCTTCTTGAATTGTGTTGGTAGTGTTACCTGTACACAGGGATAGTTAGTGTTCATGGCTTATGCTGCAGAGCTGTGTCCCTGCTTGAAATGCTATCTCCAGAGTAATCTCTATTGGGTAGTTCTTCAGCAGATGCTTCCACAGATCCTGGTGCCAGGGAGAGGGGAAGATCGCATTCATTCATTCATTCATTCATTCATTCATACATTCAAGGAGTGGTTTGCGTCTGTGCTCAGTGTGAAGTGGCACTTTATTTATACCTTCATTCAAATAACTCTGCCGATCAAGCCCTAATTGTAGAGCTGGTAGGAAAAAAGGATGCTTTCCATTTTGTCCATACAGATGATGCACAGCTTTAGATTGAAACTCTGAATCATTAAAATAAAATTTTAGCGGTACAGCAGTTGCATGGTTGCATTATTTAAAGCATTAGTCTTTGTAGCGCCATTTTTTGACGCAATGATCTGCTACTGACAGCCATGCAGCTTCCTCTTCAGATAAATCCCTGCCCTTCTTCCTGATGGGGACAGTTAGTAATAAATGTAGTAGCCTTGTATTTGACTGCAAGGTTTTTAAAGTTTTCCAGTGCTGGAGATGTAGCTCAGAGGTTAAGTGGAGCCAGTCCTGATCCCCAGAACTGCTGGTAACCCCTGACCCATGACCCAGTTCTATTCAGCAAAAATCATAAGAGTGTTTTTTGAGAAAATTTATGTCCAAGAAAACACTTGGTCAAAATTTATGCAAACTTAATACTATTTTGAAAAGAACAGGGCCAAACATGGCATCACAGATCTTTGTTCCCTGTCACCTACAAAAGGGCGCAGTGCAAACACTGTAGTGAAAGCCAGAAATTTTGTGGCAGTGGTGACTGTTCTCCTCAGCTGATTCCCAGTGGCCAGGTCTATGAGCTTTCAAAGAAAATCTGCAAAGTGACATCACCTTCAACTGTGTGTGCTTTAAAAAGATTACTTCATTTTAAATTATGTATCTGTTTGTGGTCTGTTTGGGTTTGTGCACACAAACGCCAATGTCCGGGAGGCCAAAAGAATTCCCTGGAGCCGGTCCCATGTGGCTGCTGGGAACTGAACTGAGGTTGTCTGCAGGAGTAGCAAGTGCACTTAGCCACTGAGTCCTCTCCAGTCCTGTTGTATGTACTTTGTGTACTGAACACGCTCTTTCCAGTCCATCATGAGAGTCTTGTATTATAAGGTGAAAACAATCAAGGAAAAAAAGGTTAACCTTTTGTGAAGTATTTTAAAGTTTTTTGCTGATTTTATAGTTTAAAAATGTGTTTCTTTTGTTCTTCGTTGTCTTATAGGAATACTCACTGTCAAAGCAACTCCATATCTGTAATCATTGAGAAATAAAAGTATCGAATCCTATAATTGAAGCTTCAAAGGAATGTCAGAATCTTCCAGGCTTTTTGATTTTTAACATGATTTGTAATAAATGGTTTGCTTTAAATAAATGTTTGAATAAATTTTCTCCCGAAAGCATAACTCTTCTAGTTTTCTGTAACACACTGTGGGACCTTTTGTCAGGGGAGAGAAACTCATTCCCAGTGTCCACCACTCAGAGGTTTAAAAGCTTACATGCAGCCCCGCAGCGCCACCTTCTGGTCATTGAACTCACATAGCGCTTACAAAGATGTTTCAGGTGTTGGACTCACTGGGCACATGCCATTTCAGCTACCTGCTCTGAGTTATCCTTGCTGCTAATGCTATCAGTTCAGAAAGTCTTTCCTGTGTAGCTAACAGAGCTCTGAGGAGTGCTTTTTGGTGCAACAAAATATACCTAATAAAGATTATTATTAAAGAAAATGATAAAGCAGTCTTTAAATCAAAATTCAAGCCTTGCTTAAACACTAAATAATATAATATCAAACCATTTGAGTTAAAGTTGTTAAAATACCACTTATAGAGAAAGACATTTTCTGAGGATCCACTTAATCAATGGTAATTGTAATAATTTAGGAATATAGATAGTTCATTTACATAAGACCTGGAAATGTTTCCTTCTTAATTATAAACATATGACCCCATAGCCTATAAAAGTAAAATGCAACATATGTTTATAAAGTAAAAGCATTTTGTGAAGTTCTTAATATCTGTGTTTGGTACATCAGAGAATTTGTGTTTTGATATTTCTTGAATTCTATGATTAATAACAGTGAAGACTGTAAACTACAATGTAAAATGTCATAATTCGTGAAAAGTTCGATACAGATTTTTCTGTTTAATGTGGAAAAAAAAATCAAACATATCCTGCCTGTCTTGATTCTTTTCCTGTTGCCATTACAACATGCTGTGTATAGGCAGCTGTGGGAGACAAAGGTTCCCTCCTGCTCAGCTGGACTTCCAGTCCGTGGTAGCCAAGTCTAGGCAGCAAAGTCTGGCCACAGTCAAGAAACATCCTGCACAGTCTAGGACCCAACTTAGAGCGTGGTGCTGGCCCTGTCAGAACGGGTCTTCCCACCTCTGCTAATCCCGCCAGCATTTCCCTCACAGGTGTGGTGGAGACTCACCTACAGGGTCATTCCAGATCATTGCAGACAGCTACTAGTGACACCACCTTTAAACTCTACATCATATGCCCTTTCATTTTTTTTAACCTTCTGGATTTTTAGATATCTTGTTTTATATATAATATATTTCAAAGTAGGAGTAAAGGAACAGCAGTTGGCAGAGTCATCAGAACATAGTCCTCAAATATTGTATCCCACAAAAAATTGTCTACGTGGCATAATTTCCTTTCTATAAAACCCACTGGTAGTAGTAGTTTAGTGATGCACAGTAGCGAGGACCTGTGAAAAAGGGTCCTGTTCTTCTCACTGTACTCTCTGAATAGCAAGTGGAGCTATATTTAGTTGTTACTGATTTCTTTTCAGCCCCCAGTCAGCCAAAATCTAAAATCCTCCAGAACAATACACATAGGATTGCCCAGTAAATACTTACTAGATGTTACTGAGTAGCTATCATCTTATTCTCGTTAAAATATTATTTTAATTTCTAAAATTTTTTCTTTAGAACATGAAAATATCATGTCTTTAAATCATAAACTATAAGGAATATAGTTCTTAGTGAGTGATGACGTCAGTCCCTCTTACCTTGAGGGAGTCGTCAAGGTCCAGTGCCGAGGGGGTTGGAGAGATAAAATACTCAGTTCTTACTCCTGAGGCTGTGTTGCTGAGACTGTCACTAAACTGCCGATCCTCCTGCCACTGCCTCCTAAGGACTTCATGACTGGTGTGGGGTGCTCCATGGAAGCAGACACTAGCTGCTAGAATAGTAACAACGTGAGGTTAGAAGGTTAACTTGGTGGTAGGCACCAGGGGTGAAAATGGAGAATCAAATCCTATATTCCAAAGAGATCGACAGCGAAAGCCAGTATGAGTTGTGGCGTTTGTGTGGTAAATATGTGTGTGTGGAGCCGTAAGAGAAACAAGAGTCGGAAGCCAAGGAAGATCCTTTCTAACCCTGGATCTTGTTTTGCAAAAGTTGACTTCTTAATGTCAGCATTTGTTCCATGGCCACACCTAATTTTGCTGCATTCATTCTTTCATAAAACCATTTTATTTATTTATTTATTCATTCATTTATTCATCTATCTATCTATCTATTTATTTATTTATTTTGCAGCTTGTCAACACCCCTCCCACCCCACCCCCACCTCGGTCCGCTCCTCTATTTTTGTTTAGTAAAGGACAGGTCTCCCATGAGCATCAACAAAGCATGTGTATTAGGTTGCTGTATTCACTCTGAGATCGTGCACTGACCCCACCACATTGACTCTTAGAACTTTGTATTAAGCTAAAATGGTGGATCAGGTTCTCTGCATGTGTCATAACAGACATAATGTTGTGAATCTGTTTAGGGCTGTACATAACTTGGTGGCACAACTCTTAAATGAGGCTCTGCACGCAATCCTAGGACTATAAGAAATTTTTTAAAAAGTGAAAGCTATTTGGAGAAAACTTTTTTTAAATTCTGTGTGTAGAAGAATGGAACGACTGAGCAGGAAATAAGCCCATGGTAATCGCTGATGTCATCTCTCTTCCAGGTAACCCTGGCCCGCACAGCCCCATGCTGGACCTTGATAATGATGTGCGCCCCTCAGTGTTGGGACATCTCAGCCAGACTGCGTCACTGAAGAGGGGTAGCAGCTTTCAGTCTGGTCGCGATGACAGTAAGTTATCACCCCTTCTGCATGATCTCTCTGGTGTGTACACTTCCGAAAGGATGTGGTAGGAAAGGCTCCATTTAATACCTCAGAAAATTGGCAGGTAGTAAAAAAGATGCAAGAGAATATAATACTCTTGAGTTCCCCCATGCTACACAGGGCGGGCCCTGGAACCACACTACTTTGCGCAGGCCTGGATGACTGAGCGACAGTATGCTATGTTCTTGCAGTACTTGTAGTACTCCAGAGCCTGTCTGACATCACTGTCTAGCAGCTGTGCCAGCCTTTGCCGCTGCTGGGAACTGCGACAACATAATTCACCTAGAAATCTGCTGTAAAAGATTTGGTCAGTTAAGCTTTCGGAATCAATTTGCCGTTTTTAAATAATAATTGTTAAGTCATTTTCCCATCATAAAATGGTTTCCATTACAATACTTATTATTGGATTTAAGAAAGGAGCTGAATTTACTCTCATTTTGCTCTTGTGGTTTCTCAAATAAAATTTTGTTTGTTTTAAGTCAGTGGGAAATCAGAATTCTCTCTTTTTCTTTGGTGCTACAAAACGATTCTCGTGATCAGCTGCCTTGAGACTTGTGTGTGCAGTGTGTATGAATCTGGGTGATTGCATGTCTGCACTGCTTGCTGTATACATGCATGGGTAGGGTACACAGGGACATGTGGACCATTCCGAGCTCTCTGCCAGTTTCAGTGACCACAGGGTCGTGGGTTCTGTCCATGTTGCTTTCACTTACTTCCCGGCAAAGACTCCATGAGATCAGGATACAGGTGAGTGTCCCACTCGCGGGAATGCAGAACCGAGGTCAGAGAGCTACCTGGTGGAGTCACAGTTCTTTGAGGAAATGCCATGCAGCTGCTGTGGTCAGGCAAATCTTTCAGTGCTTCAGTTTATAGAATTTAATTTGGGAGCTGCAGAGATTGCTCAGTAGTTAAGAGCCCTTGTTGCTCTTTGCAGATGGCGTAGGTGTGGTTCCTAGCACCCACATGGTGGCTCACAACCATCTGTACCACCAGTTCCAGGGGCTCCAATGCTCTTGTTTCACCCATGGGCATCAGACACCACAGTGCACATACATACATGCAACTAATACACACTCACATGAATCTTATAAAAAATGTATTTAAATTAATTTTTTCAAAGATTTTCTTATTTTGAACCTATGATACTTCTGGCTATGGCCTGTGCATTCCAGGCAACATGCTGTCTGCCATTTCTAAAATAGTATGGTGTTAATCATATACTTTTAGGGAAAAAAAGCCATGTTGTCAGATGAAATTTCTTGGTATACTTGCCTGTTCTAGAAACTTTGAAAACAAAGTTTGTTCAGTTTAGAAAACTGTTGAATACAACAGTTTACAGCTGTATGATAAATTCACAGATAATCTTTAGGTTTTCACACCCCCACACCCACCCACGCACAGGTCCAGACATGCCCAAGAATGAAAAAGCTATATGGCCTTGGCCCACTCCTCCTAGCTCTAACCAATTAGAAATATACTAATATGATTACCACTTGCGTAAGTCAATTCTAAATAGAATGTCACACTACTTTTAAAATTCCTGTAGCTCTGCTTAAAAGGAACTTATGCGTCTGTCTCAAGGTGTTGTCTCCATTTTATACAGGTGTGTAGGACCCCACATGCCTGTGGTATAATAAAAATGCTCTTGCTGATTACATCGTGACTGGTGGTCTTTTGGGGACTTTTTGTGGACCCCAACATTCAACAGAGGAACAAGTCTTAAGTTTACAATACCCTTAGATATAAAGAACTACACCTTTTACCAATGAGAATGAGTTTCAGACTTTTTCCTACAGTATGGAAATACTGATGTACCCAAGTATGCAGACCCTAAACTGGCCAAAGGAGGCCTCAAGGGTGGTTAAGCAGGTACAGGTCCTTGCTTTCATTCATGACAATAACAGTTTTAAGGGGCAGTTAGTACTTGAGTCTCACAAAGCCCTTGGGGATTTTGTTATCCTGGGTTTGGCGGCTTGTTTGCTGGTGAGAATATCACAAAGCTGCTGCCTTCCTGTTCCTTCTGCAACTGGACAGACACCCTTCACGGGCAATGCAGTCCCTTCTCAACATTCCCTGTTAGCTACACTGTTTGACCCAGCAGTTCTTGTGGAGTTTATTTTTTGCACATGTGCTAAATGAGGAGGATTTCTTTTAGTGAAAGCATCAGTTTTAACTAAAACATGGAAGACAGTCTCACTCTTAGAAGGAAGCTTGTTAATTTGAGTAATTCTAGATGAAACAGTCTGTATCAGAGAGAGGAAAGTGCTTGCTGTATGAATGTGGACCTACAGGAACAGTGATGAGAAGGAGAGAGAGCCAAATGTTGTTTCAGAAGTAGAGAATTTACAGGACATTTGAGAGTGATGAGAACATGTTTATATTTGCTTGTATATATAGAAAGCATTTGGCAAAGAGTTACATGATATCAGTAATAGTTGCTCTTTATCACCAGGCAAATGAGGAAGGGGAGATTTCCACATCTTCATTGAAAGCTTATTTTCTGGAGGTCTATTATCAAGTCAGGATGGTAATAAGCATTTTAAAATAAACCAGCCGAACCCCTGCGCCATTGGAATGCAAACACCAACACTTTTATTCTGGTGTTTCTTTATTTCTGTCTGCCTTCACTCTTTTCTGCCTAGGATGCAATAACCTGTATTATGCATGCTGCACAAATTTCTGATACTGAGCCACAAGGGATATCTTGTAAAGAAGCCTGGGTTTGGTTATAGAGTGAATGAATACCCTACCCTCAGGCCAAGTAAGGGTTAGGACTGGACCCCAGGCTGTTCCTGGTGGCTACTGTGTACTGGCCTGCTTGTGACTGTGTAAGGAGCAGCCAGCAGGGAGTGGGGAGGCAGAGAGGAACCTATAGAGGGCACAATGATCTCATAGCCAAAGGTAGGACAACCAGGAAATGGCTAGTATTCATGAATTTCTCTATTTGTTTTCTTCTATTAAATGAGGTTTTGGTACACTTTTCACCTTATACTTCTGTCTCTGTGGGTCAGAATAGGATGTCAGATCCCCAGGAACTGGAATTACAGACAGTTATGAACCACTGTGTGAGTGTTGGGAATTGAACCTCAGTCCTCTGCAAGAACAAGTGCTCTCAACCTCTAAGCCACCTCTCTAGCCCCCTTGTTTGACATTTTAAAGAGAAACTAACAACCCTGAGGACAAGGGTGAAGCACTGTCCTCTAAAGTCTAGGCAGCTGCTGTCCTCCTGTACCCCTGCCTGGTGCTGCCAGTAGGAGGCCTAAGGAAGTAGGAAAGGGGGCGGGGTCACTGCTTCAGCATGGTTTTCTTGATTCAACTATGTATTCATAATGTTTTATTCTTTTATCCTTTAGCGTGGAGGTACAAAACTCCCCACAGAGTGGCATTTGTTGAAAAATTAACGAAGCTTGTGTTAAGTCAGCTGCCTAACTTCTGGAAACTCTGGATTTCATATGTTAATGGAAGTCTTTTCAGTGAGGTTTGTATATACTTCTGCCTGCAGGTGGAACTGGGTCACTGAATTCCTGTTCTTAAAACTTAAGGTTTTGAGGTTCTCTTTTCAAGACTTGAAAGTCTAACACCTTTATCCATTTTCTTTAAAATTTATAAACTTTATTATAAAAGAAACTCGCAAGTAAATAAAAACACCACCGACCAAAATTAACCATTTTCACGTTTTTTTTTTTTTTTAAATGTCCAACAGTACAGTTTATCAGTGAGGTCGATGCCAAAATACAGACATCTAATTGATGCTGGTCTCAGTAGTTCTTGGAGGCTGCTTATCAGCAGATTGAATTATTTATTGCACACATCAGAAAAATTGCAGAACAAACAGCTTGAAAACAGCATTATGCTTAAAGTATTTATGCAGATATGCATGTGAACATGTAGATGTTTGAGAATGAAGTCTTCACACATTATCAAGTTTTGGGATTAGTGTAAAAAGGGCCTGACATCTTTTTACTAAGTGATCAAACTTATCATGACATTTACATACTCTAGCATGTAATCATCTTTGCATTAATGAAAATATTTTCTTTAAATATTTTGAAAGGAAAGCATCGTCACTGCATCACAACTGACATTTTAATTTGAACTCTCCACCCTGAAAAGAGTTTGCAGTCAAAATTTGTCATTAAAAACACTCAGTGAAATAAAAAATAATGATATGCTGGCTTGCTTCTACAAGGTTCGGAATAGAATTCTAATGATACTATATTTTAACACTCAGTTGACTTATTTTACTGCCATCTAGGGATTGAGTGAAGCAGCTCTTGTTGCTGTGGGAAGTGATACAGTCTTGGACTCATAGGAATTTCATTGGTGACAGAGTTGGCTCATGTCTTGATAGAGGATGATTTTGGTGGATCAGATGGACTTGGTTTCCCCATCTTTAAAACTGGAATAGAATAGATATACTATCGGGTCTTTAAGTAATATTGTATGACAAAGTGTAGAAATGGATCTCAGGCAAATAGAAGATTGTCAAAGGTGTATTTTGCACAGTGTATAGTAAATAATGTTGAGAATAATTGTTCTAAATAGGGGTTGTGTCATTTTGATCATAATATTTGCATATGCCAATAGATTTTGAAAGCATATTTCCTTTCTTGTTCTGTGTTATGGCATTTGTTACATGTGCCCTCTGAAGTGTGTGTGTTAGATCAGTCTTCAACACAACAATGTAAGAGTCAACCTTTAAAAAAAATAAAACATTTTATTTATTCATCAATAATAGAACAGTTTAGAATTATGATATATAGTGAACAAACAAACAAACAGTTTTCCTTTATTTTCAAATTCCTGGCATGTCACCCATTGATATTCAGGGACAATAGATCAGTATTCATAGGTCTTCTTAGGGTTTTCAAAATCATGATATTCTACTCGTTTTTTTTTTTTCCTAGTAAGCTTACACTCTTTAATTTGAAGAGGTAGTAGTTCTTACAAAGAACTAAATTCTATAGGAATATCCAGTGAAGACATCTGCAATTCATGTCTTGCCATAAAGTAATAGCCCTTCGAGAAATCACAAGTGGACACTGCCCATATAAAGACTCATTTTGCATTGAAAATATGTGGTACCTTAGTAGTGCATTCAATATACTTACACAAAGTATATTGTGCATGTGAGTTCTTTAGTATTTTCTCTTTTTTAGTACCTCTTCTTGTTCATTAAATATTATATATATGCATTATACGTATATCTCTACACATATGCTTATTTATATACATGTATAGATTACAGACTAGCATCCATATATGAGGGAAAATATGTGGTTAATTTCTTGCCAGAATTCAGTAACTCACTTAATAAAATATCTACCAAGGCAATATAGTTCCCTGTAAATTTTGCAATTTCATTGTTTTAGAGGTGAACAATATTGCATTTTATATACATACCATGCCATATTTTTTCTATTCATTCATCTGTTGATAGACAGCTATGTGGGTTCCATCTACTTGCTACAGTGAATAGAACAGCAATAAACAGAAGACCTTTAAGAGGTCAATAGATAATGGGAGACCGTTTCCTCATAAATAGACAAATGCCACTATGATGAGTTTTTCCTCCAAATGAGAGTTCTGCCTTTTGCTGGTCTCTTACCTTCTCTTTCTCAAATGTCTGTACACACATGAACCTTCTTGGTTCCTGAATTTTTAAGATCAATTAAATGCATTTTAATTCCCTGGGACCTTGAGCTCCTTATGTGATTGTCTGTAACTAAACAGACGAGCAAGGCTCTCCTGCTCAGCAAGTGAGTCTAAGGGTTAAGTGAGATACGCATCGAAAGAAAGAGAACTAGACGTTGTTTTAGAGATTCGCAGTCGAGTGGATGGTCGATCAGACCATACTGTGTGGATGGTATTATGTGTGACCAAACGATAGTCAAGGAGGGCCCTGGAGCTCGGCTACAGATCTGAGTTCCCGGGGACAGAACTTAGTAGTGACACAAGTCGTCTGGTCCCCAGCTGGGTTTGTTTGTTTTATAAGCTTCTGCGTTTCCAAGGTCAACATTTAGTGAGTATTTTTTTAACGTAATGTTTTCAATTTATTCTTTGAGAATTTCGCATATGTATACAATGTATTTTGACCATATCCACACCTGTTCTCCCTCTAACTCTCCTCAACTGCCCACAGCAACCCCATTCCCAACGTCATCAAGCAGCCCTGATCCTTTGTCTCCCTGACACTGTGCACATGGGAATTAAACATCCACTAGTGTCAGTTTTAACCTTCCAGGGGGTTCATATCCTCAAAGAAAAATGGTGTCTCTCCCTCAGCAACCAATATCTGCCAGTAGCTCCTGGGGTAGGGTTGGAACCTCATGAGCTGTACCCTCCCCTGCTTGAGTTTTATGGACTTGATTTTGTGTCGGTCTTGGAGTAACCACAGCTGCTGGGAGTTCATGGTCAGTAGGCGTGGCCTGGCGGGAGGCGTGGCCTGGCGGGAGGACCCGCTCACAGCACTCCTCCCTGTCTTCTGCCCCTTAATTCATTCTGCATCATCTTCTGCAGGTGTCCGCTCAGGACTGAGCAAACTTAGTCTCTTGTTCTTGGCTCTTTGACCAATTATGAACTCTGCCCACTAGAGAAAGATCTGCTTTTCTGATCAAGGTTGAAAGTAGCACAATTACTGGCCTATTTCCTGAGCGATTGAATTCATATTAGAAAGACTTTACCTATGCCTTTATTTAGAAGTGTGCTCCCTCTTTTTCCTCCAGCAGTTTCAGAGTGCCAGGTTTCCTGTCGAGGTCCTTGAACCATTTGATGTTGAGTTTTGTACAGATGAGCTACAAGGATCTGGTTTAATCTGCATGTAGACATTGAATTTTTGCAGTGCTGTTTGTTAAGATGCTATCCTTTCTCCAATGTGTGTATTTGTTACCTTTGTCAAAAACCAAGTGTTTATGGGTATGAGGTTTATATCTGGGCCATCTGTTATTTTTATGTCTGTTTTTATGCCAGTGTTATGCTGTTTGTATGACTGTGGCTCTACAATATAGTTTGAAATCAGGTATGGTTTTACCTTCAGCAGTTATTAACATTGCTCTGATTGCTTTGGCTCTCTGGGATCTTTTACTTTCATGTGAATTTTAAGATTTTCTATTTCTATTGAAGAATGCCACTGGAATTTTCACAACTTTTAACAGGAAAGGATGCTGGATTTTGTTAAGCCTTTTCTATGTCTGTCAAGATGACCATGTGATTTCTGTCCCTGAGATCTCAACCATTATACAATTTATAACATTAGTTGATTTATGTATACTTACTGATGCCCACACCTTTGGAGTAAAGCCAACCTGTTCATGATAATTAAATGTGTTCTTGAATCGGTTGGGAAGGTTTTGTTTTGTTTTCGTGTGTTGTTGCTTTTGGGGGTGATACAATCTTTTAACATTGCTTTATTGATTTCTTGGGAGTTTCACATCATGTACCCTAATTCCACTTTCCTCCTCGTTTCCCCCATGTGGTCCCCTCACCCTTGCAGTGCTCTCCAAAAAGAAAATTTTAAAAATTCTCAAGGCGAAGCAAGTAAACAAACAAAAACAAGAACAAAACCAACAAATCTCTTCATTTCTCCTGCTTCCCCACCTCTCCAGCACCTCTTTATTCATCTTGGTGGCATTGGGGACCTCCGTGTGTCACATAGTATACCATTTTGTCCAATCAACTTTATTAGCAAATGTTCATTGCAGTGTGGTTTAAGGCCTCTGGTTTCTAGTGCACCATCTCACTGGATCCTCACTGGACTCCTCAGGGATATCCCATGGCCTCCTTGAGTCACGGAGATCCTGTGGGTACTGTTCCACAGCCCCTGTCCCTTCACGAGCTCCAGCATGTTCTAGATGGGGTAGATGTTAGGGTGGGCCAACCCAAGGCCTGGCTGTGGGCCTGGGTGCTAGCAGAACTTGTTGTTCCAGACCATTGGGGTCACCTGCCCCAGGCAAGGGGGTGAGGTCAGCTCCCCTACACCTATGCTCTCAGTGCTGGTTCTCCCTTACCTGTGGTAAGGGATGGAGCCATCTCTTCTGAGTGTAGGGGTCAGCTCTCCCGTGAGGGTCAGGGCCAGCTAGCTCTCACGCTGCAGTGTCTAGAGAAAGGCAGGGCTAGCTTTCCCTGGGTAGCAAAGGGCGGGGCCAATTCAGGATGGCCCCCTTGATTTTATCACACATGATTCCTATGGCTCCCTGAGTTGACGTGGGCCACAGACATCAGCACAGACCCCAGCTACAGCTGTCCAGTGGACTCAGACATGGCCCTCAGCAGCAACTTAGGCACAGATGGCATCCTGGCTCTGGGTGGAAGCACTGGCCACTCAGACTGGGATGGTTCTGGAGTGGCATGACCCCCCAGACACCACCAAGGCCTCAAGTTGTTGTTGCTTGTTTGTTTGGTAATCCAACAGATAGCTCTGGAATTCAGAAAAACATTACCTAAAAACAATACTAAATTGGGGTATCAGCTGAATGATAC